TTCGAACTGTTGCAAAATCGTCAGTTCCTGGTAGGCATTCGGACCATCAGCTATTGCAGGCGTGGCCACGGATGACGCATCACCACGCGCAGGAATCGTATCCAGAGTCATGTCCAGATCGTCAGCATCGCGTGGTTGATTGGTAACCATCCGATTCCAAGTCATGGACTTGTCACGCCCACGAGTAGCCGAAGTCCTCGATCGTGCTGAAGAGCTTCTCGAAGATGATGGTCTTGACTTCTTTTCCAAGGTCTTGACTCCTTTGTCCTTGGCCCTGGACGTAGTCCGAGGTGCCTGAAAACCAGACGCTTCGGCCCGTCGTTCTGAAGCCTTGCCCGTCCTCGAACCTGTGGATGTCGGACGCGAAGGCGTAGATGCTCTTGGTAGACTCTTTGCTTTCCCCTTGGGAACTGCCTTTGCAATGGCAAGCGCAGAAGATTGACCTTTGTCATCTTCCGTGGAGCTATCAACGGATTGCACCACTGTGTCATCAGCTGTTGACTCACCAACGGCTGGCGCTGCCACATCGGCACCGAAAGTCATTGTCGTATCTTGGCTTGATCCTGAGTTCATTGTGGTCGTAGTAGATCAAGTAGTCGTTGCTGTAGAAAGGCAGAGCCGCGTACGGCTGATAACCTGCGTGGGGGATTGATCTCGACTTGGTTGCTGCTCTCCCCACCAGAGCTGTAATGAATGTAGGTGTGGCTGGCTAGCACTCTCCACAGACTGGACCCTGTCTCTCCCTCTTACTTCCACACGTGCAATCCTATGCAGGCAGAACCGGCGGCCGTTCCTTTTGCACTCACTGCCGGCGGCGGTTCGTCTGTGCAACGGGATAGCTCTGATTGCTCAGGATAGAAGACACATATAGCACTTAGCTATGGGCATTGACTTGAGCCAAACGTTGCGTTGGCGGTCACATAGAAAGGTAAAGATGAGGGATGCGTAGCATGCCCCCTAGAGTCGAGGGACGCGTAGCGTGCCCCCTTCTCTTGCACTTTACACGGTCTTGCTCACAGCTCTTATAGTGACACCTTAGAACTTGACAAGGCATCGCAGTCCGTTCGCAGAAACAGTCATGGACATAGCGATCGGCATCTTCTGCGGGGTATAGGACAACATCATTAATAAGAGTTAACCGAATGAAAACTCATGGCCCTCCATGAAGTGCCATTTTACTTTGTTTTACAAGGTTAAGGAGCCCCTGCCTTGTGATTGATACGTATCAATGCAGCCAGTCGTAATTAGTCCTGCTCCATGTTTGGAAGGTTGCAAGAGCTCTCTTACTTATTGCTGCAGACGAGCCTTCTTGTGCGCCCGCATATGCACATGAACTTTCCAACTCCAGGGGGGCTTTCCCATTTTTTATGAGGCAAAGAACAACTATTGGAGTATTGCTTCAAAAATAAATGCGCCCGTATATTCGACTTCCTCCGTGTATAACGGACAGGACATGAAAGGAGCTCTTTGTGTTTCGTAACTCATAAATCAAATGCTAGAGCTATGAGGCCGCATCAGAATCGGACGCTCACGAGCAGCGGGAAAGAGATGGCCCACGCACACAGACGTTCTCGTAAGAAAGACAATAGTATTTTTATTATTAGAGGAATGTCGTTAAATAACACACCATAAAACGCAAAAAACACGAGGTTTTTTAGTACTACCTGAACAAAAATAGCACGCCCTCCAGCATTTCAGCTTCTCCAACATATAAACTACCATAAATCTGCTGCCGAAATTCGGCGCCAGACTTTTACACATATCAAACCCGCGACTTGTAGCAGTACTGTTTGCATGCACATGGAGTAAAGCACAATTGTATCGGAATTTACGGTGTTTTCGGCATATATGAGTAGTCGACCAATGTAGAGAAGCAACCTGTGGAATTGTGTGGAAGAGGCGGATGTAGATCTTGGGGGGGGGGGGTGACCATATATATATATATATATATATACTCTATATTTAATTTATATACTGACATACTACCGACCCTCCTTTCTTCCTTCTTTCTTTTCGTCCTTGCTTCCTTCATTCCTTCCTTTCCTCCCTTCTTGCTTTGTTTCTTTCTTTTCTTCCTTCGATCCTTTTTCCTTGCTTCCTTTCCTTCCTTCCTTCCTTCCTTCCTTGTGTCCTTGCCTTCTTGTGAAGAAGTCAGGAGGCCAGGCCAGGTCGAGAAGCCAGGAAGCCAATTAGTGTTGACGCAAAGAAGGCCAACAAGACAGCAAACCAGGAAGGAAATCCCATAAACCAAGAAGCCAAAAGACGACAACAAACCAGCAAGGAAAGCCAAAAAGCCAAAAAGCCGAGAAGCAGAAAGCAAAAGCAAAAAGCAGAACCAGTAAAAAGCAAAGGCAGAAAACAACAGGCCAACGCCCAAAAGCCGAATAAGCAAAAGCGAAAAACAAAAAAAAATCCCCAAAAAAAACAAAATAAATTCCTCAAATAATTAGGATTCCCATCATATATCTCAAACACTCCCCTTCATTTCGCGATTCCGGTACCCCGTACTCACTGGTTTGCAGGTGTAATGCCAGGTGTAACGCCAGATCAACAGGAGGATTGCCGGACTGACAGACTGATTGGCAGACAGGCAGACTGACTCACCGCTGCTGCTGGACGACCGACTGACTGACTGGCTGACTGACTAACTAACTCACGTACCCACCGAACCGAAAACCACAAAAAATACCAAAAGAACCCCCAACCCTGCATGGAGGGTGTCCCAGCCCCGGCCAACCTCGCCCCGGGATTCAACGCTGGATCCGCAACCCGCCGCGCACACCCAGGATTTAAATGGCTTGTTTACATCTTTTAATGTTTGCACAATTTATATACTTGAAAGAAACAAGTGAAAAAATTCAATCCCCAGGAACAGGCCTCCGCGTTTACATTACTTACATCATGTATGTAAACTGTATAATTGTTGGCCCCAATGGAAATGGTCCTGGGCCCTGCCCAGCCGGGTCAGGGCTGGCGTGATTTCCAAGCCAATCCCAGAATTCCTGGGTTTGGTGTGGCCGTAGTGGGCTCACAGGCCCTCCTGGAAGCGAACCCGTTGTGTTGACCTTTCCCCAATTCTATTTAAATCCTGTTGTTGTCATATTCCGAAGAATCCCGAGGATCCTAATTGAGTCCTATTGTTTGCCAAAAAATAAACGCTGGCTTTCATGACCGAGGCAATGGCGTTGCTCCACAGGACCTGGTCGACGTGAACCTATGGGACACAGGATGTAAGGGGTGAGTCCGAGGCATCTAAGAGGTTTGCAGATGGGTTGATTTTCGGAACGGTGGCTTGCTAGGGTTCCGGGCAGAGAGTTTTCCCGGATTCTGGATCAAGACTGTGATACAAGTGAGGGGCAGACCCCCTTGCCGCTGCCCTGATTCCCGATGAAGACGCCTCACAAGGCAGTCGCAAACACTTCACAGGTCTCGAAACTGCTGAATCATACCAGGTTCGCGGGTGCTGACGTCTTGTTGCATGTCCTGTTCCCGCCTTCATCGTGGCGATCCCAATAGAAGGTCCACTTGGAGAGAGGGCCCAGCACGTCTTTCCTGGCACTGCCACTGCTGCCACTGCCGCAGGGGCTGCTCAGATGGTACAGTGGCTGGGCTTCAGGCACGTCGCGAAGACAGACCTCGATGCAACAGGCTCAATATCAGAGCAAACTGCAGCTTCGTACCGAGCCCAACGGCCATCCCAAACTGGGGTTGCTGCGGTTTTCACCATCTCACCGTCAAGTGGGTGGTCAGCTGCCTTAAAGTGCGGCTTGAGCTGGTTCACCACGTTCCAGTACCCGATAAGACTAAGACTTCTCAAGTTTTGAGGCTCCCTCATGCAGAAGACGCATCTCCGCGATATACAGACTCTTGGGGTCCACCTCACCGCAGAGCTAACCAAAGGTGTCCAGTACAGTACACTTGGATCACGATATCCTACAACCGTGGCTCATGCTCATCAGCGTCATGGCGAAATGCCACTGTTGTAACACTTCCCTAATTTCGAGCTCTTTCGAGTGATCTCGTGCCGGAAGCGTACGTGAGTGCTTTCTGCACAGCAGCACATGAGCATGCCTGACCCTCCTGAACCAGCCGCAGGATCTCTGCAATGCGACCGCGGAGATTACGCCTCAGGGCTTTGACTGTCGTTCTACCTGGATCAAACTTACACGGCTCAGCATCCGGAGGGCAACGACAAACACTGTCATTGCCGTTGCTGCTGATGCTTCTGCATTGGTGGTATCCTTCGTCCTCCTCCTGTGCTACGAGGAAATGGCCGCGGCCGTCAACAGAGCAAATGTCTGCCAACAACAGCACCAACCTCTGCTGCTGCTAGTACGATGGGAACTCCTGATGTTGATGATGACGAACATGAACCTGGTACGGCTGATACGGTCGATATGGCCAACATGATGGTCAGGAGGTGGTGTTCACGATGCTGGTGATGATGGTTCTAGTTACGAAGTATGAACGTCTTGCTGTGACTGGCACACCAACAATGTTTTCCAAGTTGAAGCAACGCTTTCCAAGTTGAAGCAACGATTTCTAAGTTGAAGCAACGACGTGTCCTAACAGAGGGTCGCGCCTCTCCTTGGGCAGCACACCACGCTGTTCTCCGTCGCTGTCCACGTACTCTAAGCCGGCCTCCGCCCCCCAAAATGCTTGAGGGCATCGTCTTGTTCGTCGATATGGAAAGCTTAAGAACGAATACCCACGATCAACAACCTGCACCGTCACTATCCTCATGAATGTCACCACAACCGGAAGCGCAACAAGCAACAGCATCTCCATCTCCAGCACCAGCAATCAGCACCGGTGCTAACTACCACCCACCAACCACACAACCACCGCCACCAGCAGGTCAAGCACCAGCGTAATGATTAAGAATAACGGTGGGTTGGTAGTGCTGGCAAGCAGGAAACAGCACTGCTAGCAACAGAAGCCGCAGTCTCGACAGCAGCAGTGGCAAAACCAACAGTAGCGAAAAGCAAATGTCCTCGTCGTCATCGCGGTAGCAAGTAGCAGAAGCCGTGGGAGCTGCAGCAGTGGTAGCAATACCGATGGTGGAAAATATGGCAGGAGAAGCAGTGGTTGCAGCAGCAGGAGCAGCAGTGTGGTGGCAGTAGCAAGTGGCAGTGGTCGCGGTCGCGACAGTTGTTAGTATTAGGGTTGGTGCTGGTGTTGGTTGACGTTAACGTTACTGGTAGTGTGAGTGTCAGTGGTAGGAGCAGGAGCGGGAGCGGGAGCAGCCGGAGCCGGAGCAGGAGAAGGAGAGGGATCGAAACAGAAGTAGCAGTAGCAGTAGCAGAAGTAGCAGTAGCAGTGCAGTAACAGTAGCAGCAGTAGCAGCAATAGCAGGAGCATTTTTTTTGGACATGCGCCTTGTACTTGTCTAGCAGGGTGTCGTCCTTAGACACGGATGGCGGAGGTTTGCACGGGGACCACATGGTCCATGTCCTACTCATCCATCCAGAGCGGTTACCAACCTTGCTACGATCTCATTCCGAAAAGCCCTATGCTTCTGAGCGCATGGCCCCCTCCAAGGGGGATTGGCCTTTCGGCCGTGACGCAGAACGAAGGGTCAACAAGGGTCAACCAGTATACAGAAGAAGCCTACCCAGCCCTACGACCACAGCGGCCTCTGAAAGTTGCTTCGTTTACCCTCTCCCCTTCTGCTCTTTTGGACGGCAAAGTTGATGCCACGGTCTGGGCAGCTGACAGCCTGAAAACACTTCAGCAAGTCTTGCACCTTGGTTGATGTGTATGCTGCGCGCTGCTGCTAAGCTCCCATAGATTCCCATTCCTCTCGGTCATCTGCCGAACTTGCGCTGTTCAGGGCTTTCGTCAACTCGGGGGGCATCACTTCCTAGCGAACACATCAGCATGTAGGAATGTCTAGAAAACTCTGCAGCGCATATTGACTAGCGGACTGGTCCTCCTCCGCCAGGCCGAGCAACTTCACACCGTTCGGAAGAACCTTTCAAATGAGCAAGGTCTCACTGCAATCTCCCACCCTCACTGCCGAACAGAAGCCCTAAAAGCTGCTATGTGTCCGAGCAATAAAATCACCCAGATGATCGGCCACCAGCACCTCGAGCAACGAGCAGTATCCTGTAAGAGCATCGGCTACGTCACTAAACTTCTGCCTCGCGGAGGAACTCCTTGGCTGTTGACACTACTCGCGGCCGCCGCATCGGATCCTGGTGCGAGCGAAAGTGTCGGAGTTGTCGTTCGAATCCTACTGTCCTACTGCACTCGCCTCAAGCAGGTCGAGAGGCCAAATGCCTGCTGGCGTCGTGGAGTTAGTGACATGCTAAGCTGCTAAGAAATCTGCTTGGCCTTGGAGCATTCGCTTCTCTGTGTCGGAGAACTCCGCCATCCTTGCGAAAGACGGGCTGCGAAGTCGCGCGATCTTGCTTTCCCAGGCCTGAAGCGCCAGAGAATCACCGCGGGCCCTTGTCAAGCCAACGGCTACGCTGATCCTGTGGTGTTTGCTTGCGTTCTTTAAGTTGGCTGTGCTCCGCATTTAGAAGCAGTCCGAACACAGACAGAGTCAGGCTTAGTCTCAAACTCTGGTTCCTTGTCTCTTTGCTGCGTGTCCGTGTGTGTGTTTTGGTGTGTGCCTCTCTGCTTTGCTTTGTGTATGCCTCTCTCTCTCTCTCTCTCTCCTTGGAGCCTTGGAACTGAGCGGAGCTGTGCAGAGAGAGAGAGAGAGAGAGAGAGAGAGAGAGAGCCCCCACCAGCGCGTGCGTCAGGATAGCGCGTGCAAATACACGTGTTGCTATACGGCACGGGAGGGAGGACTTGAAGGGCTGAAGCGGCGGATGGAAAAGCCTCGGCACGGGCCACGGGCCATGGGCTTGCCGTCACAGCTGACAGGCAAAGTCATATAGCTGAGCCTGAGACTCCCGGATTGGAATGAAGGGCATACGCGCTTCATAGCGCACCCGAAGTTCCTCGAAAAACTCAGGTTATTCTCGGTCCGGTACGGTCATCTTTTCTTGCCGCAGGAGTCGATTTCTCATCGGAGTTCGTTTACACGATTTGCCGATCGGCTCGCTCTGCCCAACGCGCCGGCGCAAGGCTGGCGGATCTGAGGCATCGCGTGCAATGTCTGGCGAATCAAAGCAATCCAGGTTTCTGGGTCACCGCCATGCACCTAATCCACCCACTTTGTCAAGTAGGTGCTGGCCTTCAACGCGGCCTCTACCTGAGCCGTGCTCATGGTCTTGTACTTCGACAAATCCTTCGGGTTCTCCCATTCAAAGAACTTGATGCCACCCTTGGTGACGGGCTCGCGGCCAAAGTGGCAGTAGGCGGCAGTGTCCTGGTACTTCGGCTCACGCAAAGCCAGGGACTGTGCAATGGCTCCAGGTCGGCAATCAAACTCGATCTTAAGCACACTGGTGATATCATCCACGGTTAGGCTGCCCTTCTCGCTGCCATAAGTCTCCACAAACAGGGACAGAGGCTTGGCCACGCCGATGGCATACGACAGCTGCACCAGGCAGCGCGCGCTCAAGCCGCTGTTGACCACGGACTTGGCCATCTGACGGCAGATGTAGGCAGCAGATCGGTCCACCTTGGTCGGGTCCTTGCCAGAGAAAGCGCCGCCGCCGTGGGCTCCCCATCCTCCGTAGGTGTCCTGGAATCGAACGCCAGATGCAAAAAGGAGGCTAGCAATACAGTGGGACAAAAAAACACTGCCACCCTCAAGCCCTCTCGCTTCGCTGTAGTCAAGAGGCAATGATGATCTTCCGGCCTGTGAGGCCTGCATCGCCTTGAGGACCACCAATGATGAACTTCCCTGAAGGATTTATGTGCAGGTGCGTGTGGCTGCCGTAAAGGCTGATGGCGGGCTTGCCATTTTTCAACTTGATCGACTCAAGCGTTCGCTTGATGACCTTCTCTTCGATCTCTTTATTCATCTGCTCCATGGTGGGTGCAACCATCTCGGCACCGGTGTAGCCAGCACACTCCTGGGTTCGCTTAGCTTTGGATGGCTCCGCATGCTGAGTAGAGATCACCACGGTGTGGATCTTCTTCGGCTCAACAGACCCATCCGGGTGCTGCATGTATTCGATCGTTACCTGCGTCTTGCCATCAGGTCGCAGCCACCAGCACTCGCCGCTCTTGCGCACATCGGTCAGGGTCTTGCCAAGACGAGTGGCCATGCTGTGCGTCAGAGGCATGCAATCCGAGGTCTCGTCGCTAGCGTACCCGAACATGATGCCCTGGTCTCCGGCGCCAACGTCCATCTCGTCCTTGCCCACATGCACTCCACCGGCAATGTCCGGGCTCTGCTTGTTGATGCGCACCAGGACCTCGCCTTGTGTGCTAACAAAGAACCTAGCCATGTACACAACAGAACATTTAGTTGGGGCTTGCTGCTTCTGTCTCGTCTGTTGCTGCTGATCTCAGAAAACCGGACCTCAGCAGCTGCATAGTGTTGCACACAAGGCCTGCGACGAGCCGAGACGCAGGTCTTGTAGCTCAAGCCCTTGCTGTCCACACTGGACAGGTCGTCCACGAAGCTGTCAAAACCGATTTGCTGCACGACGCCACGCACCACCTTGTCGTAGTCGAGCTTGGCTCCGGTGGTGATCTCCTCAGCTTTTCCAACTTTTCCAAAACATGACATCAGAACAAAACGAGAATAAGACCATGCCCACTGCGTGAAGGGCTATTCTAAGCCAAGCTAGGCGCTCCAGCCACCATGACCATGTTGTCTTTGGTCGCAGTCTCGCAGGCCACCTTGCTCTTGGGGTCCACGTTGAGGCACGCATCTAGTACAGCATCCGAGACTTGATCGCAGATCTTGTCCGGGTGGCCTCAAGCGTCCCAACAGTCAAAGGCAAAGACTTTCACTCAACTCTGCGGCTGAGCATGACTCTGCTCAACTGCTCAGCTCGTCACCTTCGTTCACCGACTCGGAAGAGAAAAGGAAAGTGCGCGCAGTGCGAGCCTTCTTCTGTGCTGGCTCCGCCATGGCGTCGCAGCAAGTGGACTAAGGCACACAAAATTGGCAAAAGCTCATTTGAGAAGACGATCGGAAGGAACAGCCTGCTTTCAGTCTCCAGACTCGACACTCGGACGGCCATCGCCAGCCTCCGGGAGCATTTCGTGTTCGTACCACACCTGGTGTCACCGAAGCGTGAGGAACGCAGCCGGGCTAGGCCCTGCAGGCCCTAGGCGCGGCTGATAGACAACGCGGGAGGGCGAACAGGAGAAGCTTGGCTCAAGACTAGCATGCGGCTGCCAGAGAATGGGCCGCGCTTGACGGACTGGGGATCCAGGTATTCCCAACCTCATCCCAGTCTCAAAGGCAAGAAGACCAAGGCTCAGAGGTTTCAACCAGGTGTGTTGCATTCTTCGTCCGGAGAATAAGCAACCTCCTGCAACCACACAGCTCTCCTAGTCGAAGCACTGTGTGCGTACTGCCATATTACCAACTCACTTGCTGACAAAATCCAAGCATGACAGCAGTGCTGTCATTGGATGGGCGGCATCCTCAGCATCGCAACCGCTCTTCACTCAGGTGCTGCCGTGGAAACGCCGGGTCTGAGCTTCAGGCTCGTGCTGCTGTGGAAACTCTTTGGTTGTTCGTGGTTTGGCTCGAGCCGGTCCAAGCAGAAGCTAGCTGCTAGAGCATCGGTCGATCGTGGAAGTATGTATGCGTTTACACGGTGTACTCATGAAGAAAGGAATACATGCATGCATCCTTCCTGCCTACTTGCGAGCTAACCAGCTAACTAAGCAACTAACTACCGAGCGAATTAACGAACTGGCCAAATAACTAGCTAGCCAGCATCAACATGCATCAACCAACGCTACATAACTACCTGCCTAACGAACTGACTCACCTACTTTGCTCAGTTACTCACCGACAGGTCGCCGACACACGCACTCAGCCCGCCCGGCCCCCAAGAAGGAAGCACCACCAAGAGTCTCAGAGACCCAGAGCCCTCCGAAAACGCGGGCCCGGTTCACGGTGACCCTCCGACAAGCGCCGGCCTTGGCCTCCACAAAGTGAGACAGAGTCCCCAAAAACACAGAGCTCAACCCGCCCGCCCACTCGTATATGCAGCAGCCGCTGCAGCCACAATTCCATAAAAGCGCACCAGCACTTCTACACGGAAACTTCGCCAAGCCACCAGGGCAAAAGACCTGGACATTGGGATCCTCAGCGATAGCAACGCCGTGAGAGAGTGCATTGTTGCTGAGTGCATGTGATCGCCACAACATCAAGCTGTGCACTTGCAGCGGCACATGGGGAGAGCAGGGAGGCAGGGAAGCAGAGGGGCAAGGGGATGGAAGCAGGGGGACAAGGGGAAGGAAGGCAGGGGAGGCAGCTGTTGGTTCCTTGTAGCCAAATGTTTGGTAGTGAACCACACATGATTATGGTCTGATTTGAGAACTGGTGGATCTTTTCGCCGACTGCGAAGCTATCTGGATACGACTCAAGGGCCCTAACGGCAGCGGGATATATATACAGTTAACACATGCATGTCATGGCCATGGCTTCCTGTACATGTACAACAGAGGGTGCATTCACACTCAACCTGTTCTCATGCCATGACATTGAGGAAAATCTGAATTAACCACATGAGGTACAATAGGCATTGTCCTCCGGAAGTGGTGTCTGCATGCTACCCTAGCACTGACTCAGCTACTATGGTACATGCAAGGTATGCCCATGATTGTAGCGTCTGCAGTCTACGTCTACAACTTAGCTCGACTAATGCTGTACTCACCAGATTCGATCACTTTTATGATGAAATCCGGTTTCATGGACTTTGTGAAACAATCAGCGGCTTGAGTGGCTGTATCAACCCAGTCCACTCTGTCTCCACCCGCGGGGTAGGCTTCAACCGTGCGCTTGCCGTCTTCTGTAAACATAGACTGGCGAAGAGCGCTAAGCTCGATTTGCAATCGCTTGTCTTGCACACGGGACGGAGCCTCCGTGTTGAGGTGATCGGCTAAGCTGCGGCAGTCCGTCAGCGCTATGTGCGGAACCTGTGTTCTCGCACGAAGTTCCCAATCGGGACCACTACTACCGAATCCGTAGATTTCGGCTAGGGCTGCTCTTATGCGATCCCCTGCCTCTTGGGCACTTTGGAATGCGTAAATCTCAGCCTGAAGAGTTGCTCTGCATACTCTTTTGATTGTGGTGGATGAAAACGACACGATCATTGTGTCGTAACGACTACAATTTGGATCGCGAAGCTGGGCAGCTGGAGCGAGAAAATGGATCCGTCCTTGTTGTGGTCGGTCTCCCTTTTCACCCGCAAAGCTAGCGTCTGAAGCTGTCAGTACGCCCAGGCTCTCGAAATCAAAAGCACCATTTTTATATCTTAACTTAAGGTCGCGACCCTTTAAGGCAAGTTCTAGGACCTTGTTAGCCTCATGGAGAGTGCTAACAGTTGCACCTTTTATCGAGCTCTGAAGCTTCGATACGCGGTATAGGATATCTGGCCTGGCTTGCCTAGAAATCCACGAAAGGCTGCCGACTACAGAACGTAGCTGACGTTCTTCACCTCGGTCAATAAGATCCGAGTGTTTCCTTCCTGCCTTGACGTCAATGTGGGTGATCTTGTTTGTGTTATCGGTAACGTCGATTAACACGTCCTTTCCTGATATGTCGAACTGCTTACCGCAAAAGCGTAGTCTTCCCGACTCGCGGCGGCCTACTTCGAACTTCTTTAGGAGCTTATCTATGATAGTTCCACCCTTGCCTATCGATGCCCATAAAAAGTCATCGACGTGCGTTGTCAAGACACAGACTACTTTTCCGGCGGCGCGGTAAAAGTAAAATGCAGGGAGAATCCTACTTACTTGGAAGCCGACTTCACGTGCTTCTCGGTCGACTTTCCTCCAAAATCCTCGGCCGCTATCGCAGAGCCCGTATACCGGTACTCTGATCAGGAGCATCGCTTCCGGATCTACTCCTGGAAGTCCTCCGCCAGGTTGTCTCATAAGTACAACTGTGTCTATTGGCTCGGCCTGAAAGTAGGCGTTGCGAATATCTGACGATTCTACAGGGACTCCATTGGAAGCGGCGAACGCAGATACTAGACCATGCGTTTCGAGGTCTGAGGTTGGCGCGTCCGTGCGAACCTCTGTGGAATCTTCAAAATTTCCACAGGACACCAGTCTGGATTTGAACTCAGGTTCATAATCCGGCTTAAGACGTTCATGGTAGTTCTTAATAGTGTCGACCCATTTAGATGGTATCGGCGTATGACCGGCGTCTAATAGTTCCTTAAGCTGCGCTCCTTTCAGTGGAATTGCCGCTTGAAAGTCCTCATATTTCTTCCACTCTTTAGCGCGTGATCCATCGATCCGCAAGCGGATTGCTGGGGTGCATTCCCAGTATTTCAAGGCCTCGGGGGTCCTTGAGTTCCTGCTCAACCTGTTCTCTGGAAGAGAACCGGTTAGACCAAAAACCACGGAGTTTCTGCCGAATACTCACGTTAGCTTCCTCCTCGAGCCTACGTTCCTCGAAACGTGACCTAATAGGTGCTGGCAGATCGTCTAAAAGATCTGATCTGCTACCCCTTCTACTAGGATTAGGGGTCCTTTCCGCCTCGGGTTCAGCTGTGCTGACCCGTCGGGATCTCGAAGAAGATGCTGGTGGAGGTGATCTAGATCTACCTCGATCTGGCCGTTCTGGTTGATCGATCATCTCCTCATCCTCAAAGATTGATGAGAGTGGTCCTGGGCCATCCAGAAGACCATAAGATGGTTCTTCACCTTCCTCTTGAGGTACGTCTCCCGATGGCACATCCTCGGATTCTTCTTCATCGATGTCCCCACCGGGTACATCTCTGAGATCCTCGAAGTGCTGTTGTCCACGCACTAACTACTCCTCTGGCAATACGGGTTCTCCTTGGAGAACTGCATGTGCAAGTGCTTCTGCATCTTGCGCAGGTCTGAGGTTCTGTGCGGACACTAGAACCGGTACGTTCTGACACAGAACCCACACGCTTTCGTTCTGGCTACCCTCAAAACCAATTACTCTAGACGCAGTAGACCAAACAGTTTTACCCGTTTTATCCCGCCTAAAGCAAACCACGTCTCCTACCGAGTACGTGTACGGCAGCGGTTTCGCATTCCTGAGAAGTGCACGCTGCACGCGTTTTGAGGTGTCCAAATGGACAAAAGCCTTTTTGGCTTCCGCTCTCGCCTGGTGGATTAGTGCAAAACGACTTTCTGGATCAACCTGGTCGTTTAACGATCCAAGGTCGGCGGTGTTATCCTCCTCTACTAAAGATGGAGGTCCACGCGGTGTTTTTCCAAGTACCCACTGAGATGGGGAGTAACCTCCATGTCTCAGCATGCTATTCTTGGTGAGGCAACACTCATCCAAGACTGTCTGCAATGCCACTTCGCCCACGGCCTGCGTTTGCGACACTACCTTCCTAGTCATCGCTTTCAGGATCCCGCCGTGGCGTTCCACTCGGCCAATCGACTCGGGTGTTTCCAATGGCGCGTGGTGTACTTGAATACCATGAGCCGCGCAGAATTGCGCTAGTACCCCGCGATTATGTAACCCACGGTCGCACCGTATAATCGCCGGCATACCAGCCCATGCGGTCCAACGGCGTTGGATGGCCTCTAGACAACGTGCTGACGAAGGCAATCCGTCGCCTACGCGTACGGTTTCTGCAAGTTGGAAGCACGTTCCTAAACACACCATATTCATAACTTGGTACTTAGTGCCTTGTGCATCTAAGCATTCAAAGATATCAATGCCTAGGGCGTGATTAAAGGAATACCGTTCCGGCATGGATACGGTGTGTGCGTTCCTACGAGGCTGGGCGTCCTCGCATTCATTGCACCTATGAAATTGAGCCGCCTCTATGTACGACTTATCGATTCTAGCGGTCCTTAAGAGGTTAACTAGAACCTTCTTAGGGCAATGACCGAATTGGCGGTGTAACCGTCGGATCGCTACGCGTATCCGCTGTGGCACTGCTCGCCATTTCG